TTCCAGAAAAGGCTAGTTTAATGTTATTGCATTGGACTAAAACCTACTGACTTTGCCCACAGCTTACCAAAATTGTGCTATTTTGACTGATTGATCGCAGGCCAATCAGTCCACAAATTATCCACAAATAATTACTTAATTAATCAAATTAAAATCATTTTAACCCAAAAACTAAGAATTTTTGTCAAAGTGATCCACAATTCCATCCAAACCAGTGTCTGCTAAATTAATAAATGTAAATATAGCCAAAATTGTCAGCAAATATTGTTTTTCACTCAGAAACTGAATATTGCCAGAATTACCCATAAATAATGTTTTTTTTTTACTCAAAAACGGAATATTAGCAAAATTATCCACAAATAATGCTTTTTCACTCAAACTGAATATTGGCAAAATTACAGACAAATATTTTTTTTACCCAAAAACTGAATATTGGCAAAATTCTATGAATTATTTTTTTACTCAAAAACGATTATTGACAAAATTATCCACAAATAATGCTTTTTCACTCAGAAACTGAATATTGCCAAAATTGCAGACAAATATTGTTTTTCACTCAGAAACTGAATATTGCCAAAATTACAGACAAATATGTTTTTTTTTTTACTCATAAACTGAATATTGCCAAAATTACCTGTAAATATTTTTTACCCAAAAACGGAATATTGGCAAAATTCTATGATTTTTTTTTTTGTTTTTACTCAAAAACGATTGACAAAATTATCCACAAATAATGCTTTTTTTACAAAAAAAAAAAAGTATACTGCCCAAATGAACTGCCAATAGTGCTTTTTTTCACTCAAAAACTGAGATGCATATGCTCAAATCAACAAGTCCCTCAAAAGATTGAACCCAAGGTTTGGTGATTGGAGAGATTTACGAGCAATTTTTAAAAGGCAGGTCATTTTCAAGCAGCAGCACAGCAAACCATTAATGCCAACAAAGAACCTTTATTTTTAAAGCGTGTGAATAAAAGTGTCTGCCGAACCGATGATCAGACTGAAGTCATGTTCATATCTGACCAGCAGAGGGAAGCAGAGCACATGATCCTTCAGTGAGTCAGTGACTGATAAACAAAGCCATAATCATCAGTGTGTGGATTTCAGATGAGCTCACCTCAATGTAGTAATTATCATAGCTGTAAGAAGAGCTGGAGTAAAACTCACAGCGGCCCTCCATCAGCGGCCTCCTGTCCTGCACACACACACACACACACAGTACAGTACTCATCTCAGGACTGATGTTTGATGAGCAGCAGGTGAACAGATACTCACGATGAACTCAGCCGCGATGATGCCGTCGATGATGGAGCAGAGGAAACACGACACGACACCCAGACTGATGAAGATGATGGAGGCCACCAGCTGACACACACACACACACACACACAGTTAAATCACCACCGCATGAAGGACACACACGTGAGGAGATGAGAAAACAACATCATTATATCCCCAGATGAATCACATCTCAACCCCAAAATCAAACAAAAATTATTAGATCAAGTATAATTGTGCATCTTCACAAGCCTCCAAAACATCTCACATCTGAGGAGCATTTATTTCTTCATTGGATTGCACTGCATTATATGTTTGGAGCATTTCAATCTCATCTTACGGAGACATGTTACTGGAGAAATAGAGCGAACAGTGATATTTAGATCTTTTTATGTCAGTCTCTGCTGTACTGTTAGAAAGATCTCATCAAGAAACATCAGGATCTCATCATAGAAATGTCAAGTATTCAGAGTCTCTGAATAAAATGTTTTTCCCCCTTCATATTTTTTACTATATCATACCACATGAGCCTGATGGATCAAATATGATACTCAAAACACATGCAACATTTTTTGTATTTTTAAAATTTACAGGCCTTTACAGGATTAAAATAATCAGAAATGAAACGCAGAACAACAAATAAAGCCATGTTCATGTTTTAAAACGACATTCAACAACAACAGTCGACGCAAATGATCATTTCAAGATTTTGACGATGAGCTGGAAATTTTCTCAGGATTTTAAGAAAATTAAAGACAAATTAACTTTATTTTTAGACTTTTTTTTCATAATGAGGACATCCCTAAAAGTCTCCAAAATATACATAAGTAGGTACAAAGCTATTGTGTTATTTTTAGTATCACTGAGATACTATTATAGTTTTTATTAATATTTTGAATCAGTATTTATTTTTTACATTTTCTGTTTTCATTTTAATTTTAGTCATTAAAGTTTTAGTAATTTGTTTGTTAATAATGTTTTTGTCACTTTCAGTATTTTTTAATATATACACACATGGTCAGAATTATTGGCACCCCTGGTAAAAATGATCAAAGGTGGCTGTGAAAATAAATCTGCATTGTTAATCATTTTGATCTTTTATTTAAAAAATTCACAAAAATCTAACCTTTCATTGGAGAATAAGAATTTAAAATGGGGGGAAATATCATTATGACACATGTTTTTCTCTAATAGACATTGGACACAATTAACGGCACCCTTTCATTCAATGCTTTTTGAAACCTCCATCTGGCATAACAACAGCTCTGAGTTTCTCCTGTAATGCCTGCTGAGGTTAGAGAGCATTCCTCCAGACCCTTCAGCTCACCAGCACTCATCTTCCACCACAAGCCTTCAGAAAGCTTGGTTTTGTGCCCAGTGACCCTAATCATTTTGATCTTTTATTTAAAAAATTCACAAAAATCTAACCTTTCATTGGAGAATAAGAATTTAAAATGGGGGGAAATATCATTATGACACAAATGTTTTTCTCTAATAGACATTGGACACAATTAACGGCACCCTTTCATTCAATGCTTTTTGAAACCTCCATCTGGCATAACAACAGCTCTGAGTTTCTCCTGTAATGCCTGCTGAGGTTAGAGAGCATTCCTCCAGACCCTTCAGCTCACCAGCACTCATCTTCCACCACACTCAGAGCAGAAGCTTGGTTTTGTGCCCAGTGACCCATTTGGGTGTTATTTTTGAGGTTTGTGTTTGGATTATTGTCCGGTTGGAAGATCCAAACATGGTCCATTATAAGATTTAAGATAAGATATAAGACTCATTATAAGAGTCAGTCACTTTTTGATGTTTTATCTGTTGCTATTTGATAGAATCAGTGATGCCGTGTGTCTAAACAATGTCCAGCAGAAATATAGGCCCACAACATCAAAAATACAGCAGTATATTTCATTGTACACATGGGGTTTGATCATTTTTTGAAGGTTTTCTGACCCTGAGACTCAACTAATTTCAGCAGTTCTCCAGCTGTGGTCCTCAGAGAGTGTTTAGCCGCTCAAACTCTCCTCCTCGGCGTGCATTAGGACGATATAGACACACGTCCTCTTCCAGACAGATTCAGAACATTTTATGCTGATGGGAAATTCTTCATTATTGCCCTGATGGTGGAAATGGGGATTTTCACTGCTCTAGCTCTTTTCTTAAAGTCACTTTCTAATTTGTGAAGCTCAATTATCCTTTGCTGCACATCAGAAATGTATTCTTTGATGTTTCTCATTGTGATGATGATGATTAAGGGAGTTTGGCCTTTGTTTTCCCTCCTATTTATATTCCTGTGAAACAGCAAGCCACGGCTGGATAATCTCATATTCATAATCATCCTGCTGTGCTCAAAACTGTGAATATGAATGGGAATATACTTCAGAATTTCTGAGGGTTCCAGTAATTGTGTCCAACGTGTAGAGAAAAAACATTTCATAATGATATTTCCCCCCATTTTAAATTCTTATTCTCCAATGAAAGGTTAGATTTTTAAAAATAAAAGATCAAAAGGATTAACAATGCAGATTCATTTTCACATCACTATATTATAGACATGTACATGTCTGTTTTTTATATATATATATCTATGTCTATAATAACCCTGGTATAAACTCTCTCTCACACACACACACACACACACACACACACACACACACACACACACACACACACGGGC